GAAGACATTTGCCATTCATTCCTAACATAAAACATCCTGTCAACACGCTCACTTATAGTCCTAGTAAATAGTTAATTCAAATGGTTGCGTTTTTATGTACTTGATTTTACAAACTCATACAGAGAGATGAGAAAAAGAGAGCAGGGAGGTACAGAGATGATGTCAGGTCTCACATGTTTATGAAGTTGTCAATTTTTATTGGCTGAATTTTTACAATGCCAAATAAAAGTTATTCGAATTCCATGGAGCACGATGAAGTGTTCTGATTCGATGGCATTGTAAATATGTAGGAAATGTGCATCATGCATTAAAAAGTTAATAAATTCCATGCATTTTGCTTCGACTGCCGAAAGGTATGAATGTATTTTTCACAAACAAATTGGCGAAAAACTGCATAACAGATAAACGAACAAAATAAAACGATGTATTTAAAAAATATATATTCCCAATTGATATTAATTTTGATGAAAATAGTGCCTACAGAAATCAATAACATTTAAAATAAACCATCTGAATAAATAGAAATCAATCGAATGGAGTGCAATCGAAATAGATTGTTTAAAGCCGAAGGAAAATCGATCCATTTACGTATATATGTTCAGGCATAATTGTAAGTGAAACCACGAAAAAGACATCACTGTGCCCACATACATGGACACAATTTCACCAATCAATTATCGCTGCCGAAGCGAATCGGGCCTCACAATTCAATTTATGGCATTTTTCCAATATCTATTGTAATTTATACAACTCAACCGCATCGCACACAATAAAGTGAGTTGAAGTTTATAAAAAAAAAAATGAAATTTTTAATGAGGGTATATTCCACTCTTTTCCAAGCATAACTATTGTACTGTCGTCCTGCTTTAGGTAGACTTTAAAACCTCAAATAAATAAATGAAACAATCTCTTTGAGCCATTAAATTGTTATCGGTGTCGCCACCGTAAAAGGTAAGTATGTGCATTGTGTATTATAATTTATTCAAATATTGAAAAATACCAATCGAAACATGCGTGTGCCCTTATCAATTGGTCATGCGTCGAATGATGATGATTAGTTTCAGTTGTTTTACGGTAACCACAAACAATATGTACACATACAAATTCTGTTCAACTAATTTGATTACCAAGTAATTTCATCTAAAAACCAATTCATGAATGCACATTCCGCGCATTTGACTTCAGTTCTGTATGGCTGGCACACGATTCGGCGGAAATGGGCCCACAGACAGAAGGAAATTTGGATTCACGAAATTGCCTTACTTTGTATGTGTGTTTGAATGTGTGCTTTTCACTCTCGTAAATTCACATTGAAAATGCGAGAAACTTGACGGTTCTGAATGAGATCTCACTCCCTCCCTCTCTCTCTCGCTCTCTCTCTCTCTCTCTCTCTCTCTCTGTGCGCAGAACATCCATTCAAAGTAGAATTTGCACACATTTGTTTTCGCCCAATGTTTACTTTTCTTCTTCACATCCTCTTCACTCAAAAAACAATTTAAACACATTTGTCACAATTTGTAATTAATTCGTACACATACAAAGCGATTAGAACATAAGATTTTGTGCTCGATAAGAAGATAAAACAAACGAAATTTATATGGTTAATATTTTCACTAGTGGTGACATTTTAAGGGTTTATAGATCATACATTGGTTTCAATTCAATATTTGCATGGGCATCGACATCAAGTGATTTGAAAGATCGAGTGACACCGCATTATTTGTGCTTCAATCATTGTTGCGCAACCCATGACAACAATGTATACCTTCAAGCCAAACAAAATTTAAATACAGCTAAAACTTTATGTTTCTTTTGCCTTTTTCGCTGTTGTAATTGTATATTCGCTAGAAAATCGTTGCCACTTCGAGCTTATTGCTCTTTATTTAAACCGAAAAACAAAATAATTGACGAATTTAAAGCACAACTTTCATGATTATACCTCAATTTGCAAAAGTGGTTAAAAAGAGTGGTGCAAACATTTATAATATTGATATAAATAATATTTTATGCATCGTCTTGGAACAACAATTTTTTTTCATTGGCGTCAGACCACTTTCGCAGTGGCGGCTTGAATTTTTTTTTGATTTTTCACTAGGGATGTGAATGTTTTGACGTTGAAAGTCCGGTATTAAAGCCTAATCACATTTTATGTAGTTTTTATTTAACGAAAAATTCGAATTTTTGAAGCGGCGATATATTGAACACTTTCCAGCCTTATACGAATTGTTGTTGTATCTTGTTAAATTATTGCATGATATTTAAGGTGGACAAAGTGATTTTCGAAAAAAAGTCTCAGCAATACAAATGTTCAATATTTATTTTCGAAATAATTGAGCGTTGACAATTTGTCGTTGTCATTGATGTATTTATTCTTTTTCAGTATTTATTTACGCATACGCTAGGGGCTTAATTCAAAATTTTCAACGACTGAATTCTATAATAATATCTAAATTAACTGAATTTTTCTGCAAACGAATGAATTCCGGTGAATTCTATGGCGATTTCATTCAAATATGTGAGATAGTGGTGAATAGTTTCTGCTGGCAATTACTGCAATATTTATATTTTGTGTAACAAAATTGTAAATGTTTTTTATATTTTTTTTAATAAAAATTAATTTTATTTTCAATTTTGAGCGATTTTCTATCAAGAACAATCGGAAATATTTAAAAAATAATAAATTAAAAAATATTGCGGTTATCATAACCTCACTTTAATAATTTGACACATTTCATTCTATTCACACGAATTCACCGAACTCATCAATAACCACTCGATTCAAAATTGTGAATTTACGTGAATTCCTGTGAATTTTTTTGCCGTATTAAGCCCCTAGCGCATACGTGTTGAAATTAGTTCAGTTACTTTGCGGCTAACTCAACGCTCACACTGTACAAACAAAGGAGCCAACAAGGGCGAAAAATTTAAATTACTCACAAACAAAGTCGTGATAAAAACTGGAATGTAGCACGGAGACAACAAAAGATGTCACACTCTTCGTTCTTATGAAAATGTGCCTGCTTCGGCTGTGTGACGCGCGCACACATAAAAATACAACACAATTACAAATGGCAAATATTAGACTGTACAAATGAATGAGTTGTTCTTCATTTCTCTGTATTTTTTCATCTTCTCGAGTTTTAATTAAATAACCGCGGTCTGGTCATCTTTAATTGCACTTTTTTTTTACTTATACACTATATACGTTAAACAAAAACGGAAGGCCATTTTATTTTTATAAATTAACGCGACGACGTTCACGTTGCGCTTTTATTACATTTACTTTTGCCAAGCATTATATCTTTTATTATGAAAACAAGGTGCGTTCAGTACACTTGCTCTTTATCTCTCCAGCTATTTGCTGTGTGGATTTTTTTCGATCCTTCTTTAGTTTGTCGACAATCAAACGAACGATAGAGAAAAAATCGATTCAAATACGGAACAAAACTGGGTATTTTTAAAAATTGCAACTCATATCGACTTCTACAATTTATATCGGTTTAATATTTGAGATTTATTCTTGTGCACAAAAATATATAGAAATATGATCGATTTACATAAGCATGTTCATTATAATGATTATTTTACATGCACGGAAAGAGAGAAAGAGGAAGAAATAGAAGAAGAAAAAAATCATGAATATATCCATTCAGTGCACCGTTATCGATACAATATATTTCCGTTCGTTCAGGAAATTATGGAATTCTGGATGAAAGAAAAAAGAGCGAACCAAACGGCGAAAATGCAGTGTCGAGAATAAAGACCATTAAATGTAGTCGGAAGAAAAAAAAAGAGAAATTTATGGAATCGATAGATGTGCAATAAACAGACAATAATCTTTATAACGTTTCCGTTCTGATAAGTAATTTGGTTTTTTTTTTTTTAATCTTCTATGGACCATGTAGTGAATGCAGCAGTAATTTCAGCAGAAAAAAAATGTCTATTTCGGTGCGCTTGTAACGATTTGTTATTCCATGCGTGGCGCTAAGATGCAGAACCATGACCAAAAATTCAATTGAAATAATTAAAACATTGTGCATTACCATCCACGGTGTAATTTTTTCTATGTTGTATATGCACCTGTGCGTGTGTATGTGTTTTTTTTTTGGTACGCTGTATCTTTATAAAAAGCGCGAAAACATTGGCTCGTTGTGCTGTTTACAGGTGAAGTCGAAGAAAAAAAGAGCACCGCCATAGACGAATAAATGGAATAAGAGAATGAATTCAGTACCGAGAACATGAACGAAAGATCGTTTTAATGGATGACGATAAAATTGAGAAAACAAGCGTAAATTGGTGAAAGAAGAAACTTGAGCATAAAATTTACAGGAACTATTCCAAGATGAAATAATTGTTTGAACGAAACAATTAATTCTTAATAGCGGACCCGGACCGTGATGCACATAATCATTTCCAATATTGTTGCTGCGTTACATACCATAATGAGGTTTGTGCGTACTTCATATTTTAAAATAAATATAACCACCGTTCTATTGCTGGTGTTGGCAATATTCTTTTTCATTTCGTTTTATTCATCTACATCCCTTCGTGATCTGCTCAGATTGTTTTACCGTTTGCATCGCTTGCATTCTTAATTTCATTCGCTTATTGTGCGGTATGTTATTTAACAAATGAGCGGTGGATACTCATTACTTTTGCTTGCACTTAGAAAGGAACACCATCATCTCTCATTCTGTATATGTTCTCGTTTTGAAATCGCATTATTGTCTCCAAACTGAATAAAAGTTCACATTAAAAACATGCAACGCAAAAAAAAACCCAACTAAGTATTCAAACAATGAACCAATTACAGGGTTTTTCCAGGAAATGTTAGTGATGCTCACAGACTGTCCAAAATGCTATTTAATATTCACTTCAAATGTGCCAATTTGACACACACTTCAGCACAAATTTCATAGCATTCAATCCGTCTTCTTCCTTTTTTTGCAGAAAATTGTGTCGAATAATTAAAATGTTTGATATTGAATTAAATATCTTACCATAGTTTCTCTACCGTTGAATGTGAGGCTGCTCTTTTTGGGGATGAAGTTTCGACTGATGCTGTTTCGACTGGTGTCTATCGTTTTTGTTTATAAGGGTAGGGTTTTTTTTTGTCGTTATTATAACTGATTTTTTTTTATATTGATTAGCGCGAACAATTGAAAAATAACTACTCCGCTCAAAAATTAAATAAAATCAACGGAGAAACAAAAAAAGATTGAATTCATTGCTAGAGATAATTGAACATGTGGCAATTTTTGGTTCATTTTGAAAGAAAAATAAGGTTCATATAAAGTTGTGGATCACATTTCATGTGATTTTTTTTTTTTTTTTTTGAAAGTTACGAATTGATTTGAATTGAATTGTTGATTATTTTGGAGAGAAATCTTTCCAAAAATGACCATAAAATCGGCCTATGATGTATAATGCTCGAAATTAAGAATGTGCGGAGGTGAGCAAACTTTGCAATGATTCGGCTCATCACAATATCAATTATATCTAGCATAATATATATCTGTTGTGTGTGTGATTAAGACCATTATTAATGCTAATTGCATTGATTGAATTCGTTTCTAATTTCTATATGTTAATTGCACATTTTGACAAAATTATACATATGATTCGTAGCACGTTCGAATCGTTCAGTTATCAGAGAGATTGTGTGATATTGTTAAATTGAAAGGTATTTTGAACGAATCTAAATGTTAAATTGAAAATGGTCAGAGAGTTATTTCAAGAATGTTGATTTGGCAAAATGAATTAAATCGGTAATTGTTGAATAATTCAAGGTTGAGCATTTGGCTGATTTGATTTAAAATATGCGATTTAACCAGCTATAAATTGAATTTTTTTATCTCGTGTTTTTGATATGTTCGAATGAACAGCAAAATGCTCAACATTCTAAATTGAGTGAAATAATTGAATTAAAAATAGGCTTTCGGCCGACTGCATTGATTAGGAAACTTGATAAAATTGATGCCGATGCATCGAATGTAATTCATGCAATCTGATTTCATTTATGTGTTTAACCAAAAAAAAAAAGTTTTTTTTCTTCTTTCTATTTACTCTATTTTTTTATTGAACAATCGTGTTTGTATTTTTTTTTTTGTTTTCTCTCTCTTTCTCTTAGTTTTTCTGATTTTGTTTTAAATCATTAAAACAACATTTGCAATTACCGTCCTGAATGTTCGTTAATATGCACAGATGCACAAAGTGTGAAATATTGTTGTCTGTGAACAAATTTGCACTGCGATTATTGAGCAAGTAAATCGATTGATGATTCGATGTGGCTGTGGTTGATGCTATTGATGTCACGATGGCTGCTTGCGTTGCTATCGGATCGGTTAGCAATTGCCTTGAATTGATTGGGATATTGGTCGCGCTAAAGTGTGACGACGTTTTTTCGTTGGTGTCGCGTTTTGCAATAACCAATTGCGTACTCTTTGTGAAGGCGTTTGGTTCTATTTTAATGCGAAGATTACCGTATTGTTGATCGTGTACACAATAATTGCGATTATTATGAGGATTCAGTGGATAGGATGCGTATGAATAGTATTGATTTGGGTATAAATTGGGATTTGTTTGTGAGCTCCGTGCGTTATGATGCGAATAGATGGTGGCAGTGGCGGTATTGACGATAGTATTGTCGATGGTATTTTGATTGTAAAAGTTTGTTTGTGTTCGGCTATTATTTGGATAAGTACTAAATGCGTTGGCCTGATACACAACTAAACTTGGATTAAAATCGCTTAATGTGAACCGACCAAACGGATGTGTCACATACAGTGAACGTGTTGCGAGGCTATCGGAAAAATACGTCGTGATATTTTATATCGTGCGTTTTTCTATTTTCCACCTTTTTTCGTTCAAAAATTCTCAATAAATTTTAACGTTCTTTGTTTGATTTAATTCAATTAAATTTCAGTTCAACACTTTCTCCTTTTGAGACTACGTATTTCTTATTCTTTGTTTCTATTTCAGTTGTGAAATTAATAGTTTTGTTCTTTTGTTTTTAATTCTCTCAGTCACCCAGACAAATGAATTCTGTTAGAATACTGTTTAGCCTGCTGCTTTTGTTTTATTTTATTTTTTATTTTTTTATTCCGGTTTCAAAATGCTTTTGCCCTCGTATCAAAATACAATAGTTGTCACTTTTGGATACGTGCTCTGTTTACCGGAATGACAAAATTTCAAATATTCTTCAGGTATTTAGATATTAAATGTGTTGCATAGCAATATGGATTTGACGTCACGTGCCTGTTCTGTGTTTGTTATGCTTGTTTGGTTTTTCATCCACTGTGTGAATTCACCAGGGGAAGCAAATTATTTGACTTTGTTTTGTGAATGCGCTTATGATTCGTTTTATTGAGCACATAAAAACAAAACCAAACACATAAAAGCGATATTGTTGACAAGTATAACACATCCAATTACAGTGATTAGTTACACGAATCCCTCAGATTTCGGTTCTCTCTCACTCTCTCTCTGTTTCCGTACTATTGTGTATTTGTTTTGTTTTTGGTCTTTTTTCTAAATCCTGACAGTTTTCCCTCGTACCGAATACAAATCGATTTTTGGCCAAAGTATTTCTATTCCTATGTGTATTTAATTTTCGATTTTTCTTTTGTTTGTTACAATCTGTGATAAAAATATGTTGTTGCTGTTTTTTTTTTCAATTGTTTTGTTATTTCAATCACGATTTGATATAATAGATATTGCACTGAACGCGTTTGAAAAATTCTTGCACAAAAATGAAATAAAACCTAAGAAATCGTATTTTAATGAATGGTTAAATTTGCAAACACTTCACACATTCAACAAATGTATTGTGGTGGATACTTTTTTTTTTTGGTAATTTGAGTGTGGTTTTAAAATCGATCGGCACGCCGTTTTGAGCACTGGCACCAATTAGAAATTGTTCCAAATAAATGACTACACCGAGCTAAATGTACGAATAAACCAATTCGAATACGCGATGAAAATCACCTCTTCGTGTTCGTTTGCAACATCTATTGCAAATGCCTATGTGCTGTCGCTCTAAACGCGAATAGAAGTACGTGTGTGCGCGCACACACAAGCACCGATAATATTTTCTTGCCGTATGTGTTGTTGTTTGGTTGTTTCTGTTATTCTTCGTCGTTTTTATTTGTATTATTGTGTGTTCGATTCTTTATCTTGTGTTTACTGTTGCTTTCTGTTTAGAGCATAAAGATGCTAAATCGAATAGGAAAAAGTATGAAGAAATTCCATCCAAAGCATACACACAATGCAAATGCTATAAAAGCCAACGAACAGAATGCAGCAAATGATGCGAAAGAAGATGCAAGGTTCGTGTGTAGCGAAACCGGTTTTTGCCTCTTATTTTTTTCTTTCTCTCTCTCTCTCTCTCACTCTTTCTCACTCACTGCACAAATGCAACTTCATTTGATGCACGACTTTTGGCGAGTGTCTGCAAATGTGATTTTGTATTTATGTATACGAAATGCTTCTATTTCAATCGGTGTTTCTTTATTTTGCTTCTTTTTTTCTCTGAAGAACACGATGAAGAAGAAAAAAAGGTTGCCTCTTTCGCTCGCTATTATTTGAAACTCAGCTACGAATACTTTACTTTTGCGTTTTTCTGTTTCTCTTTTTGTTTTGCCACTCGCTCTTCACTTGCGCGCAAAAGTTTTTTTCAATGTTGGCAAGCTGTTGAAGAAATCGCGAATTAACTATAGATATAAAGAAACACACTACCACACGTGCACCAAACCGAACGCAAACTGAGGTTAGCCGTTCTAAGACAACGAGAATATGCTTTGAAACGAATTTCTCTTATGATTCGCTTTTAATTTCTTCGTTTGTAATGATGCCAATGGCGTGAATGAAATCGGCCGATTGGCGGTTTGACGTATTCAATAATTATCTAAACGCACGCACACACGAAGTCAATGCCAGTGCACACGGTGCAATGCAGAAATGCAAAACAAAGCAACCAACTAGTATGGAACACTGCTTGTTTTTTTTTGCTCTTGTGTTTTCTCTCTTTCGCGCAAATGAACACGGTCTTAGCGCGGGATGTGTGTTTGTATGTGAATTCAACGCACACCGTCTCGCCGACGAGAATATATTATGTGTTCCAGAACTTGATCTCGGAAAATCAGAACTTCTCTCTATTTATGACAGCGTAAAACAAAAATGCTGTGTTTATTTAAAAGCATTTTTTTTCGCTTCCAAGCTCAACTGAACAATACGGTTTAACGTATTTGTGAATGCCAGAAAGAGCAGCAGTTAAACACAAAAAATATCAGTTATCAGTTTTTTTTATTCTGCGTTGGCTGCCGTCGTTTTGTCTTAGTTCCTGTGTATTCGTGTGGATTTTGTGTGTGCGATTTGCTTCTTATATTTTTTTGTTGTTGTCTTTCTCTGACTAGAGAGTTTTGCCGCTTATCCAAATACACATTTAGATGACGTTGATTCTGATTTATTTGTGTTGAAATATGAAAAAATGTACAAATATTCTCTTTTTTCTTGTTCTTTTTTCCTTCTTTTATTTAATTTTTTTTTTCTCTTCTATCACTGCTTGCCTTCTTTATTTTTTTTGAAAATGTACAATTCAAGAAAATATGACTTCTTGCAATGAGTTCGCAACAGACACGGTCACCAACACAGATAAATTTTAAAGTTTGTGTTCGGTTGCACGTTTGTTCGCTTTCGTGGTCTTTTGACTAGCTATCCGCGAAATATCCGTGTACAATATTTGTATATATTTATTTCACTGACTATATGAGAGAATAAGTGAAATCTGGAATGAGAATGGGATCGAGCGGACAAGATACACACTTAACACAAGATGAAGAAGAGAAGAAAAAAATGTCTTGTTATATGTATATTCTGCTTTCTGTTTTCTGTTGCCCTTTATCTCAATAATAAATTAATATTGACTTAAAAATATCACTATATATTCCCTCTAGATTAAATTCTTGTTTATTTTTCTGAATTTTTCAACAGTATTATTTCGCCCCGATTCTTATTTTTAATCGCTGTATTTGTCGTCGTCGTCGGCGATCGTGTGCTAGTACTGGATTTTGTTTGGTCTCTACCAATCTTGAATGATTCACGTTATTTTGCAAAACAAAATAAAAAATCTGTTCCGTTTTGCTTTATTAGATTTCTTAAGATTGTAATTCACTTTATTTAAATATTCGCTAATAAACCGAATGATTTGTATATTTTTTTATTTTTTTTTCCGAACTCTACGCAAATTGCGTGCTTTGCGCTTCCCAATGTTACGCTTTGCACTATGTGGTTCGTTCAAAATGTGGCGCTTTCGGTACGTTAATTGATTGAGGTATGGCAAATGATTTTGATTGTTTAAGAATATTCTTTTTGCATTAGACAATATGCTATAGAGAACTCCAAATTGAAAAGGGATGTTTTTGGGTACTCAGTGCTTTTGATACTTATAGTACATTCGAGAGAAAAAAAAGTTTTCCTATCAATTAAGTACAATTATCTATCAATTATATATATTACACTGGTTTAAATTGCTCGTATGAGACTTGTAAGTTGTATAACAATTATGTATTTTTTTATTCTCTTAAAGTCTTGTTGCTTTGATTAAATATCAAAAAAGAGATGGGAAAATAGACGTAGAACACAGAAAATTGAGTATGAATATCGTAGTGTATAGATTTGGCGAAGAAGATTGTCTTAGGTTTATATTTGATTTTGAGATTATCTCTTGTATGTTAAAATTAATTCTATGATTTTGATTGTCGAAACGCGATCTTGATCTTATACTCCTAAAAAAAATGATTAATCTTTACCTATATAATATGTATATATTTGTATATATAAATTCAAACTCTTACACATCAAGTGCATGTAAATAACACACTAGACTTTTTTTTCTTCTGATTTTATTTATTCACAATATTTATACTACGTGTGCTAAATTTACCTAAGTCTTTCTTTTGTTCGGCTTTAATTTGTCTGTTTTTATAATATAAATGTCTGTGATTTCTTTTAATAGAGATTTTATGGTCTCAATTAATTGTTATCCACACCAAAAAATAATAATAATTTCTCAAGTTGTGTGTATGTGTGTGCGCACATGCGATAAAATTGTTTCGCTTTATTGGATTTTACTTTGTATGTGTGATTGTATGTGAAAGGGGAGAGTTTGTAATGAAAACTCGATGAAAAATTGAATGTGCGACAACACGTCTCGGTGTCGATAAAAGTTTGATCAAATTTTGCCGGTATGCAACAGTGTATCCTACTCGAGCAAACAAAATCTGACGATCGATTCACTTTTTTTTGTTTAAAACTAATTAATTCTTATGAATTCTTTTGTGTATAATTATTATTTATGAGAATGATATGTAAATACTACGCACTTGCTACAAAGTATTTGAGAAATGAAACTCGATTTTCAATTGAAAAACGCACCAATTTACTTACAGCTTAATTCAAATTCTTTGGTTACTTAGATTTGTCTGTGTGTTCGTGTGTTATTTTCTTTTCTCTCTCTCTCTATCCCTTCAAATTGTGTAAATAAGTTGGATATCTTTCAATGATATATTTAATCCTCAAATAGTTGATAACAGTTTAGATTATTTTTCGGGCTTTTCTCTTTCTTCCTTTAAATCCGATCTTAAAATGATTATTTCTTAACTTAAACACTGATTTTTTTTTTGTATTTTAATTATTTTCACCAAGGGTTTAATTATTTTCTCTATATTTCATGTTTTTTTGAACAACGGATCTTTTTTTGTCTTGTGATTGCAATTTACTCACGTTTATTCCGCTTTTCTGTTGATTTTTAAAATAAAAATCTTATTTAATTAAGATTTGCAAAGAAAAATAGTCAGTTTTTGATTTGTTACTTTAACGGATCACAATTATTTTGAGACGAATCGCGCTGGGCTTGAACCAAATGGCGCGTGATAGTCATAAAAATTAAATTGTGACTTCTTTGAATTCGAAAAAAATAAATAAATCAATTTTCTTTTAATTAATACGATTTAAATAACAATTCTATTTATTATTTTCAATGCACTCTTTCACAACTGTATTTCGTTTGTTTGTTTCTTTTTTTTGTTTTGGTAAACTCTTCTGATGTTTTATTGTAGTATTTACATAGCTCGACAGCGCGCGCGATGCAATGAAATGTGTGGTAAAGCTGTCAGAGTTCGTTAAATATGTTTACTTGTCAATTCGCTTTTGTTTTGCTTGACTAAACCTCTTTCCTTTGGCTTTTTGTTCTGATCCAATTCATAATCAAAACAGAAATTCGTGGCTGTCGTCAATTTTTTTTGGCAAAATGCAACGAATACGCGCCGAAAGCGATATAGAAAAAGAATCTCGGTTAGTATTTACTTGATTATATGTGAAATTCTTTTCCCTTCGTCTTTTCGCTCAAGCGATTGACTGAAATCTATTTGAATGTGAGTACGTTTATGTCCTATCTTAGCGCTTTCAGTTAAAATATATTTGAATTAATTGAATGCTGTGTGTGGTTAGCACAAAAGTACAAGTTGTTGCTTTGATTGTTGTGGTTATGTGTGTATGTGTTTGTTTTTTTTTTATTTGGATTTTCTTCCGATTGGGCGCGCACTGTTTCTTCGCAAACGCTTTTCGTTATTCGCTCATAGTTGAATTGTGTTTTTTGTGATGTGTGAATGATTCTGATTAAGTTGAGTAATGAGTTTGTATTGTGGTGGGAGAAAGATGAAAAATGATTTATTTGTGTCAAGGAGCACAGACAGGATATGGATATGGAATGTGACTGAATCTGGATATTGTTTATTTTTCTGTTTTTTTTCTTTTGTTATTATTTTATACCATCGGCCTGTTTTTTACCGACAGTGGCAAGTAAATTGAAAGTATGGGTGGTAGCAAGAAAATGTGTCTTTTTTCTGTTTAAAGAAATCAAAAACCGACAGCAAAAACCAGCAATAGCGAGGATAGGATAGTAGCGAGTACAAGTCGATTGAAAAATGATGATTTAGTGGCGTATTGAACCGTTGAATGCTTGTCGCTGGTTTATTGTCGCACACGTTATATTTATAATATTTTTTTGCTCTTTTTTTGATATGTGATGAATTACTCCATTAAGCAGCAACAATTAACAAACATGCTCTTTTTAGCTCTTGTATGTGATGATCTCCCTCTTATGGATATTCTTCGCAAGCTAACGATTTTGGTTGCAGTAGCACCGATACTTTTTTTTATAGTTATAGCATGAACCTGAACAAACAACACAACTTTATCAATTTCAAATTTCAAATCAAAATCAATGTTTTTAAAATGCGATAAAATGTTTAAATGTATATAACAAATTCAAATTGTAAAATTGGGATTTTGCTTGCGAGATTTACTAAAATCGACCGAAATGAATCACATTTTCAATGATTTCGATCTCGGCATTTATCCCTTGTATTTCGGATTCGGTTTGTTATTATTTATTTCACGCGTGTATTTTGCTTTTCAGCGTCAATTTAGAATATTCATTTGCCAATTTGGTTGTGTTAATAAATAAATCAAATTTTTCCAATAGATATTATTTTTGGGATAAGAATTTTTTTTGGTTGTTTTGATATTCAACTGTTGCAATTTACTTATTCGTACCGATTTTATGCGAAGTGATATTGAATGATGTGTTTACAAACAAACAAAAAATCTCGATTATGTGTTTTTTTTTATCAGTTTTTAGTTTTGTTTTGTTATTTTCATGAATTTGATGTGTATTTTTTTTTAAATATTTAGTTTCATTTAATTTTAACGATTTATTTAAACGAATTTGTTTTATTTTTTGGTTGTTGTTCAAAAAAGGTTATTTTTGTCTGTTATTTTGATGTTGTGTTTAAGAGCGGCGGACAGATTGGAACGGGTTAAAGCGAAGACTGTATGAAGACTGAAGTGAAATTGAATAATAATACTCGGTCGTACCCACGGAAAAAACAGAGTGAACATAGAATAGGACACAGCGCGCACAGAGAACACAGTAAGGAGATTTGGCTCGTACTGCACTGCCGAAACGACAATATTTGCCAGTACTGATCATCGTTTCGTTTCACGCGTTTCACACGCAAAATATATGTAATGATAGAAAAGAACAGGCATACCCACCTAGTATTGCACAAATCGGCATACAGAGTGAAAAAGAGTATGTGGATAGTGGTACTGCGTCGAATCAGTCTCGCGCACAGCCACAAGTTCTGCTGTTCAATTAATTCGTGTACCAACATCAAATTGTGTGTGGTGTATATGCATTGTATACATGGTTTGTTGGCGTTATGCTGTTACCGCCACCGTTGCCTCTGTCGTCATCATCACCGTTCTCATGCTCGACACAACATTTTCACCGTGTGTACGTGTAGAAGTTATGAAAAGCCGAACGAGTATCCACTTCATCTCCCCTGATGAGGTAACAACAATACAGCCAAAGTACACCGTACGCAACACATTGACGACACCGACGACAACAACAACAGCAACAGCAACAGCCAAAACAACGACAACAACCGAAGCAACAGAATATGACTCTTATACCGATAGATTGTGCTCCGCTTTTGATATTTTCTCATCTGTATTCGCTTTTTCCTATCATCGGTCGGTCGATTCGATTGTGGCATTGCAACCTCTAGTATTGAAACTAAACCGTACTATTCCGTGTGCTTCGTCTATGCATCGTTCAATGGAACATATACACGTATACAGACTACTATTCTCCCCTTTATGATTTACGTGTACACATTTTCCATTTCGTACCATTTACTGAAAGCACAAGACCAATTTTTGATGTTGCTGGTCTCTTCAGTTTTCAATCTTTTCGCTTCTTGACACTTTTTCTCTATTTGGTTTTTATTTTACTTGCTTCAAACATATTCTATCTATCTATTCGTTCTTTTCCAATTCTATTTCTATGTTTTTCTTCGTTCACAAATCTTATGCTATTGCTTGTCACGGTGAACCGTGTTTGCGTACACGAAAGATTTTAACGAATGATTAATCATTGTATTACAGGTTGAAGAACATCTTGCTTAGTTAAACCATATGTATATAAATTCAATATGTGTTTAATACTTGATGCGCCACCAACACTGCATTTTACCAATGCTTCTCGAGAATTGTACGATGCTACTTATTTTCTCGTTAGTACGCGTATTGTTGTTGTCGCCGTTGCTCATCTGCTCATCGACAACTTTTATCAGTGATGACGGCGAACTCGTACGATTATTATGTGATTATTCAAGAGGCCTTAAAATTGAAAACGCTTTCATCAATGCTTTGTGCACGCAACTATGACGTGTTGATTGCATTTTATCCGTGCACGAGGAAATTTTGTTGTCACACAAGAGTGTATCCCGTTCCAAGAGTTGAACCAAACAATCAACATTCTGAATGCCATTTTTCAACTATGTACGCCGATTTTTTTTTCTTGATTTCAATGAATCGAATGTTCGTCATTTTGTGCAACCGAATTGCACGATATGTGCTTGTCAAAAAATATGGAGATGCCTGCAAAGAATTCACAAAAAAAGAAATGTGCCACGGCGGAAGAGCCCTCCAAATCGATCTGTGAATCTAAGATTCACGTTAAACATAAATTAAATACAAAAATAACAAGAAATGCACGTAACGTACGTCGATTTTCACATACATCGTAAATATAAATGCATTCCATCTTTTTTTTTTGTT